CTGGAGTGCGGTGGCCACTCCCGGCCACCGCAACCTTGACCTGAAGGGCTCCGGTGATCCTTCCACCTCAAGCCTTCCAAGTAGCTGGAACTACAGGCACGTGCTACCACACCCGGCTAATTTTTGATTTATTGTAGAGATTAGGTCTCACCAAGTTGCCCAGGTGGGTCTTGAACCAGCGAGCTCAGGCAATTCACTCACTTGGGCCTCCTAAAGTGCTGGGATTACAGGCTGAGCCACCGAGCCTGGCTCAGAATTTGCATTTTTACAAGATACTCAATTCATTATTTAAAACTTGACGAGGATCTTCTGACTTACTAGAAGCAGTATATGTAACATATTCTGTGTGATATAAACAGTAATTTAAAATGTACATGGCTGTGTTGGTGTCCATTTTATGCTGTTTCACTCACAAAAATAGAGATTCTACACTGACTGAGGATTTTATTTCATCTTTTTTTCCCACACTTATTACATTAGAGGATATTTCTGTATTATGAATTTTTTTATTGCATAATAATAGTTGTTTTGTCAGCTGGACCCTGTTCTTTTCACTCTTGCTACACCTAGAGGCCAGGGGGATTTGGTAAAGATGTGTTTTTGGTGTTTACAGGGGTTGTTGTCATTCAAGGATGTGGCCATCGAATTCTCTCCAGAGGAGTGGGAATGCCTAGACTCCCCTCAGCGAATATTGTATAGGACTGTGATGTTAGAGATCCATAGAAACCTGGTTTTTCTAGGTGAGTCAACTTTCAAAACACAATCCCTATTTCATACTAAGGATTTTATGTCCTTCCTTTGTAGAATGTTTTCTGGGTATTTCTCCTTTGCATGAATGAGTTTCAGATTCCTAATATCAATGAAAAGTTGGTAATATGTTAACATAGAAAATAAAAAAGTAATGTTTCATTTTGACAGAAGCCTTCTCTATTTTAAATTGATCAATGTCCTTCTAGCTATATTATTGTTATGTTCAGAAATTTAGTAGCATAGATATCATTGCCCACACCTCATTCCAATTGCTGCCATAAGTTATTGATTCACTAGTACTGAACTAAGAACTCACAAATTTAAGGCCAGGCATGGTGACTCACTTGTCTATTGCCAGTATTTTAGGAGGCTGAATTGAGAGGACTGCCAGTGTCCATGGGTTCAAGAATAGCCTTGGCAACTTGGCAAGACCCCATCTCTACACTAAGTCAAAAAATTGTCTGGGAGTGGGAATGCACACCTGTAGTTCTGGTTACTTGATAGGCTGACTGAGAAGAATTACCTGAGTCCAACAGGTGAGAACTGGGGTGGCTATGAGCTTTCCACTGCGATCCAACCTGGGTGACAGAGTGAGACTCCAATTTAGAATAAAAAGAAACCCATAAATTGAAAATTCTATCTAAATGTTCTAAAAGTTTTATTGAGAAACCATATTTGGGGCTTAATTATCTAGAATCTTGTATAATGTGTTCTCTATGGATCAAATACTAGGTTTGTAATCTAAGAACCCCAGCAAGAGTCATGTTACTTTTTTCTAATTAAACAGGAATTGCTGTCTCTAAGCCAGATCTTATTACATGTCTGGAGCAAAGGAAAGAGCCCTGGGATGTGAAGAGACGTGGCACATTAGCCAAACTTCCAGGTAAGTGGGAGTGAATGAAGCAGACGACACAGGTTGAGGAATCAGAACTTGAAATGTGGTTTGGGAAGGTGGTCTGCTCCAGTGGAAATGGTTTCTTAGAAACCTGGGATTCTTTCTATTCCTGTCACAAAGGGACATCTGTTATTCCATGTTCAGAAATTCTCCAAAAACTGATTCTTCAATGATCTTTCAAGATTATAGAGGAAATCAAAGTCCACTTAATTCTTTGTTAGGAACTGCATGATCTGACTACCTTTCTGATGCTTTGGAGATGTGCAAGTATTTCCTTATTTATTTGGAAATCCATGTCAAACTTTTTTTTTTTTTTTTGAGTTGGAGTCTCACTCTGTTGCCTAGACTGGAGTGCAGTGGCCACTCCCAGCCACCACAGCATTGACCTGCTGGGCCCCAGCAAAACTTCCACCTCAGCCTTCCAAGTAGCTGGAACTACAGGTGTGCACTACCACACCCGGCTAATTGTTTTATTTATTGTAGAGATGAGGTCTCACAAGTTAACTAGGCAAGTGTCAAACCTGCGGGCTCAGGCAATCCACTCACCTCAGCCTCCCAAGGTGTGGGATTACAGGCTGAGCCACCAAGCCTGACTGAGATGTCATTATTAATGATAAGTCACGATCCTACTCATTAGTTCCCTAAGACTCAGTTATAACTCAAATTGTGTAACCATTGAAAACATCTCCATTTTCCCACCTGCAGGCCCTGGTGACCATGTTGTACTTTCTTACTCTATGAGTGCAAAATTTTTTGACTCCACAGGAGTGAGATCATGCAGGATTTTTTTTTCCAGAGGTGGAGTCTCACTCCAGGTTGGAATGCACTGTCATGCTAATGACCACCACAGCCTCATTGCTGGGCTCAGGCAATCCTTCCATATCAGTCTTTCAAGTAACTGGAACTACAAGCATGCACTGCCATGCCAAGTTTATTTTTGTATTTGTCATAGACCCGTGGTCTCACCTAGGTGCCCAGACTGGTCTTGAACCCCTGAGCTCAGGCAATCCTCTCACCTCAGTCTCCCAATGTAATGGGTTTACAAACTTGAGCCACTGTACCCGTTCTCACACAGTATTTGTGTGTGTGTGCCTGGCTCACTTGAGTTAGCATAATGTCTTACAATGTCATCCATAAGGTTAATATTGCAGAATTCTTGAAAAACTTTTTTGGCTGAATCATATGCTATTGTGCATATATACATACATGTGTGTGTGTAGTGTTCACACGTTAATCAACTCAGATTCCACAAATATTCAAGTTGTTTTCAAGCTTGGCCAACTTGACAAATGCTGCAATCCCCATAGGGATTGGAGACTTCCTTTTGATACTGATTTTATTTCCTTTGGTTTTGTACCCAGAAAGGAATTCCTGTGTTACGTGGAAGTTTTTATTTTTATTTATTTATTTATTTTTTGAGTTGGAGTCTCACTCTGTCACCCAGATTGAAGTGCAGTGGCTGCTCCCAGCCACCACAGCCTCGACCTGCTGGGCTCTGGCAATCCTTCCGCCTCAGCCTTCCAAGTAGCTGGAATTACAGGCATGCGCTACCACGCCTGGCTGATTTTTTGATTTATTGTAGAGATGAGGTCTCGCTGCCCAGGCGGGTCTCAAAGCCACAGGCTCCGGCAATCCACTCACCTCAGCCTCCCAAAGGTGCGGGATTACAGGCTGAGCCACCGAGCCCAGCAGTTTTTATTTTTAAAAGAATGTTGATAATGATTTTTATATGACTTTACCAATTTTAAACTCACCAAGAGTATACAGAATTTCTTTTTCTTCACATCCTTATCAAAAGTTTCTTCTCTCTCTCTTCTGGTTGATATTAGCCATTCTAACAGCTGTGAGATAATATATCATTAATGTGTTTATTTGAAATTGCTCTATTGATGATGTTCAGTGCCAATTCATATACCTGTTGGCAATATGTATGTCCTCATTGGAAAATAGTTATTCATTTTTGGGCTGTTTTATATTCAAGTGATTATCATTTTCTTTCTTTAGCATCTCATCAAGTATATGGTTTGCAGATTTTTTCTTGTCCTGTAAGCCTTCTTCCTTTTCCCTTTACATTGCAGAAGTTTTCAGTTTGATGTCTCCAACTTGGTTATATTTATTTTTATTCCTGTAGTCTTAAAAAAATTATTACTGAGACCAATATCAATATCAAGGGTGTTTTCCAAATCCTTTTTATGGTTACATTTTATCAGCATGTTCTCTGTCACCCAGGCAGTAGTGTCATGGCTCAAGTAAGGCTTTCCACATTTCATATGAAAATTTCTCAAATTTTTTGTAATATGCAGCTCCACAAATTATTGTTGTACCCTAATTGAGTCGTTTATCCTGATTCATTCTATTGGCATACTTTGTTTGAATTAGGGTATTTGAAATTCAAAGATATACATGTCATAATATTTATGATGTTGCCTTGTCTAGATTAATATAACACCAATCACAACATTAGAGATTCTATGAGACTCATACCTATTCTTTGGATGTGTCTGCTCTGTATGTTGGGCTAGAAACCAGTCTTTGCATAAGCCCACAAAGAACAGAAATGTGGACTCATACTCCACTCTTCTGTTTGTTCCCTGAGGAAGAATTCAAGAGTTAGAACATCCCATCTGATTGCGTCATGCTGCATTGTAAAGAAAGAGCCATTATGATGGCAAAATTACTCTTCCATGTAACTCATTTTATCATGTGGATTCTGCAAAGTCTTAGCTGTTTTTGAGTTCTCACACAGGCAATGGGGTATTTTCTTAGGTACATATATTTATGGTGGAGTGGAAACCTGTGATTTGTACTTGTCATCATACTTATATGCTTACCATGGTATATTATGTTTTATTTTCAAAAGATATTGACCTGAGTCTAGCATGTGGAAAAAATTTTTCATTTTCATGATTTTCAGCTGTGACTTCTCATTACACTGAAGGCCTTTTGCCAGAGAAGAGCATAGAAGGCTCCCTTGCAAAGGTGCCAATGGGAAAATATGGTAAATATGTCCTTAAGAACTTATGCTTACAAAAATCTTGGTTAAGTGTGCATGAGGGTAGATAGAATGCTCAGTTGCAAATGACCATTACAAATGTAATGAGTAGGAAAGTCTTTCATCAACACTCCAAATTTGTTATCCACCAGAGTATTCATATTTGTGAAATGACTTTCAAACCCGAATATGGCAAAACCTTTAACTGATCCTCAAAATGTAGTCAACATTAAATAAATAGTGGAGGAAATATACACAATATATGTGGGAAAGTATTGAAGAAATTATCCTATCTAAATAGACATGAAAGAATCCATAGAGGAGAGAGAGCCCAAAAAAGTGAAAAATGTGGCAAAGCCCTTAGCTATTACTCAAGTCATTCACAATGTCAGAAAATTCATTGTGGATAGAAACTCTATAAATGTGAAGAATGAGCCAGGCTCGGTGGCTCAGCCTGTAATCCCAGAGCTTGGGGAGGCTGAGGTGAGTAGATTGTCTGAGCCCATGGGTTCGAGACTTGCTAGGGCAACTTGGTGCGACCTCATCTCTACAAGAAATCAAAAATCAGCCGGGCGTGGTAGCGTGTGCCTGTAATTTCAGCTACTCAGAAGGCTGAGGCAGAAGGATCACCGGAGCCCAGTGGGTCAAGGCTGCGGTGACCTGGAGCAGCCACTGCACTCCAGTCTGGGTGACAGAGTGAAACTCCAACTCAAAAAAAAAAAATTAAAAAAAATTAACCGGGCATGCTAGCACATGCCTGTAGCTCCAGCCACTTGGAAGATTGAGGTGGAAGGATCACTGGATCCCAGCAGGTTAGGTTGTGGTGACCAGGAGTGGCCACTACACTCCAGTCTAGGTGATGGAGTGAGATTACAACTAAAAAATAAATAAATAAATAAATAAATGTGAAGAATGTGACAAAGTCTTTCACTCTCATTCACTTCTTAACATACAGTGATCCATACTGGAGAGAAACCCTACAAATGTGAAGAATGTGGCAAAGCCTTTCTCATTCATACACTCCTTACTCGACATGCAATGAGCCATACTGGACAGAAACCCTACAAATGTAAAGAATGTGGCAAAGCCTTTAAGTTTCGTTCACACTTTACTCAACATATTGTGATCCATACTAGCGAAAAACCCTACAAATGTGAAGAATGTGGCAAAACCTTTCCAATTCTTTCACACCTTACTCAACATATGGTGATGCATACTGGAGAGAAACCCTATAAATGTAAAGAATGTGGCAAAGCCTTTCAACATCATTCAAACCTTTCTCGACATACACTGAGCCATAATAGACAGAAATCCTACAAATGTGAAGAATGTGGCAAAGCCTTTAACTTTCTTTCACTCCTTACACAACATACGATGATCCATACTGGAGAGAAACCCTACAAATGTGGAGAATGTGGCAAAGGCTTTCGCTCTCGTGGAGAATTTGCTGGACATAAGAACATTCATACTGGAGAGAAACCCTATAAATGTGCAGAATGTGGAAAAGCCTTTTACTATCGTTCACATCTTACTGAACATACAGTGATCCATACTGGAGAGACACCCTACAAATGTGAAGAATGTGGCAAAGCCTTTATGTTTCATTCACGCCTTACTCGACATATGGTGATCCATACTGGAGAGAAACCCTACAAATGTGAAGAATGTGGCAAAGCCTTTCAAACTCTTTCATATCTTACTGTACATAGAGTGATCCATACTGGAATGAAACCCTACAAATGTAAAGAATGTGGCAAAGCCTTTCTGTTTCATTCACGCCTTACTCTACATATGGTGATCCATACTGGAGAGAAACCCTACAGATGTGAAGAATGTGGCAAAGCCTTTCAAATTCTTTCACGCCTTACTCAACATATGGCGATCCATACTGGAGAGAAACCCTATAAATGTGAAGAATGTGGCAAAGCCTATCAAACTCATTCACATCTTACTCGACATATGGAGATCCATACTGGAGAGAAACCCTATAAATGTGAACAATGTGGCAAAGGCTTTCAATGTCATTCATACCTTTCTCGACATACACTGATCCATAATAGACAGAAACCCTACAAATGTGAAGTATGTGGCAAAGCCTTTCACTCTCAAGGGCAATTTGCTGTACATACAGTGATCCATACTGGAGAGAAACCCTACAAATGTGAAGAATGTGGCAAAGCCTTTCAAACTCGATCACGCCTTACTCGACATACAATGATCCATACTGGAGAGAAACCCTACAATTGTGAAGAATGTGGCAAAGCCTTTCAAACTCGATCACGCCTTACTCGACATATGATGATCCATACTGGAGAGAAACCCTATAAATGTGAAGAATGTGGAAAAGACTTTCACTCTCATTCAAACCTTTCTCGACATACACTGATCCATAATGGACAGAAACCCTACAAATGTGCAGAATGTGGCAAAGCCTTTGTGACTCATTCACAGCTTACTCGACATACAGTGATCCATACTGGAGAGAAACCCTATAAATGTGCAGAATGTGGCAAAGGCTTTTTGCAGTACAGGAGTCTTATTGTACATCAGCGTATCCATACTGGAGAGAATCCCTTCAAATGTGCAGATTGTGGCAAAGCCTTTACATCTCGTTCAGATCTTACTCGACATACAATGATCCATACTGGAGAGAAACCCTACAAATGTGCAGAATGTGGCAAAGTCTTTACATCTCGTTCAGTTCTTACTCGACATAGAGTGATCCATACTGGAGAGAAACCCTACAAATGTGCAGAATGTGGCAAAGCCTTTAGGTATCGTTCAGATCTTACTCAACATACAGTGATCCATACTGGAGAGAAACCCTACAAATGTGCAGAATGTGGCAAGGCCTATCAATCTCACTCTGGATTTTATCGACATAAGGCCATGCATACTGGGGAGAAATCTTAAAAGTGTGAAGATGTGGCAAGGCCTTTCACTCTCATGTAGGATTTGCAGACATAAGACCATGTATACTGGGGAGAAATTCTACAAATGTGAAGAATGTGGAGTCAGGCTCGGTGGCTCAGCCTGTAATCCCACGCCTTTGGGAGGCTGAGGTGTGTGGATTGCCTGAGCCCACGGGTTCGAGACCCGCCTGGGCAGTGAGACCTCATCTCTACAATAAATCAAAAAATCAGCCAAACGTGGTAGTGCGTGCCTGTAATTCCAGCTACTCGGAAGGCTGAGGTGGAAGGATCGCCGGAGCCCAGCAGATCGAGGCTGCGGTGGCCGGGAGTGGCCACTGCACTTCAGTCTGGGTGACAGAGTGAGACTCCAACTCAAAAAAAAAAAAAAATGTGGCCAAGCCTTTTGCTCCCATTCAAAACTTGCTGGACATATCAAGGTGCATACTGGGGAGAAACCACAAGTGTAGATGGCAGATGTGTTAAATGGAACTCTCTGTCTCTCTGGGTAAGAATTAAACATAGTTGCCCACCATGGTGTTTAATTCTAAAAGCATAGAAAATAAAAATCTGCTATAAAGTAAACTAATGGTATAAGAAAATTAAATGTAGCTATTATATAACCGAAGATTGTGAGAATAGATATAACTAGCTAAGTTTGATATATTTAGTATGATGACCTTTTGCTTTTTGTTTAAAAATAAGTTAGGAATATTTAGAATAGATGAAGTAAGTTTTGCGTGGATCCATATATTATTGCTTTAATAGCTGATTGTCCTTTTTTACTTTTTATTTTCCTTATAGAAAATTATATATTTTCATGAAATAGGATGTTAAGTTTATGAGGTTAATAGTCCAACAGGTGGTGGCAGTGATAACCACAAAAACTGGTTTTGGGTTTATGGGCAAGTTGTATTAATCATTAACTTTATAATAAATTTTGTAAGACATGAGAAAATGCAGTGTTTATGACAAAATAATGAAATCGTTTTGTGATTGTATAACTACAAAAAATAATTAACTTATAATTTACTATAAATAAATGCAACCTGGAATGTTTGATTGCCAGAGTGCCTGAAGAAACTCTGGTCATGACTCCTCATTCCCTCGCCTCATCACACCTCCTTCTCAGGTCCCTGTGAGCCCCCCAGAGCTAGCCTCTGGCAGCCTGCTGGACTGGGTGCATTATTGTGAGTCCTCCCAGATATCAGCCCCCTCATGACATGATGCAGATGAGAGGCAGAAGGGTGGTGACCATTTGCCTGCCTAGTCCTTTCTCTGACCATAGCCTCCTGTGAACAACTGGGCTGCATAATTTGCCAGAAAGGATCCAGGACTGGCCAGGAGGAGGCACCCAGGGAGGGAGCAGGCTGCAGGAACTGAAACTTCCTAGGGGACTCTTTCCAGCGTGGGTCCCACCACTGTGTCTACAGCACCTTATGAGGCTGTTCCTGTTTGACCTGCAGGAGTTCTTTCAGGTCAGTTTAGCCTGGGCCTGGGCTCTGTAGGACGACATGGTGCTGAGGCACCTTCAGGTCTCCAGGGCTCAGCTGAGATGGATAGAGTGATCTCTCCCTGAGGTTAAGTCCAGCACCAAGTCCACTCCCATTTCACCTTTTGGGGCAATGAAGACTTGAGCGCACAGGCCCCATTAATTCATCTCTCTCAGCTTTTATCCCCTTCCTCTCCTCTACAAAGCTACTGGAAACAAGTAACCTGGGCCCAAGGGTTTATTGAACATATCTCAGAGACAGGGCAAGAGATGAGGGCTAGACCCTCCAAGTCCCTCTGCCACACTCTCCTGCACCTGCCTTTGAAAGTACCTGAAAGACACCAGAGAGGTCACAGCCCTCTGTGCGAGCTGATGCCAATAGCCCCAGAAAGCAGCAGGAAATTCTTCAATCCCAAACACCCACCTTCCTGCGGGTGGCAGGACAACTTGCCCTGAACAAAGGAGTGGAAAAATTAATGTCGCAGACCCAGGCAGAATTTGGGAGAGGTCAGTTGGGACTAGAGCCCAGAACCAGAAATCAGACTTCAGTTGAGTGTGGCAACATTCAGTCTTCCCATGGTGTGGAGTCAGAACCCCAGAGGGCAGGGGAATTCAACATCTGGGAGAATCACCCCATGGTGGAGACAATTCCATGTTAGAGTGGCATAGGAGCTTGGGTAACAGTGAAGACCTCTCCCACCAGAGTTCTTTACTAGGCCTGAAGATGAGGTAGAGTAGTCCTGGGGTGAGAGCATGATGCAGGAAGCCCCAAGCCAGTCTGAAACTTAGCACACACATCACTGGAGAAGCCTGAGTTGTTCCAACAGCAACCACGTCCCAGATTGCACACACCCTTAGCTCTGGGATCAATTTCCTGAATGGGTGTCTTTAGTGTTAGACCAGGGTGCCATATAGAAAACCCAAGAATTCCAGGGACCAGGGTCTATGGGGCCACCCTGTGAGGGCCAGATGAGCTCAGTGAGGAAGCTGATCAAGGTTGATAGCCTGGCTCTTCCCAGCCCACAAGCTCAGCTATAGAAAACAACAGAGCAGGCTGGGTGCAGTGACTCATGCCTATAATCCCAGCACTTTTGTTGGTTGAGGTGAGAGAATTGCCTGAGTCCATGTGTTGGAGACCAGCCTGGGCAATGTGGCAAGAGTTCTTCTCTACAATAAATGAAAAATTAGCTGGGTATGGTGATATGTGCCTGTAGTTTTAGCTATTTGAAAGGCTGAGGTGGAAGGATCAACTGATCCTAGCAGGCCAAGGCTGCGGTGACTGGGAGCATGCCACTGCACTCCAGCCTAGTTGACAGAGTGAGACTACAATCCCCAAAAAAAGCCATGTGGTAGCACCCCTCAATCAGGATTCCTCCCCCAATGTCTCTTTGCTGGCCTGATCCCAAAGTTGAGGCACAACATCAGATTGGGGCTTCCATAGATTGCAGGGAAGTAATCTGCTTTCTGGAGGCCTGGAGACTCAGGTGTGGCCAACATACCCCCTGGCTCAGAATTGGCCATGGTTGTGTGGTGATTTCCTTCTTAAATTAGTTCTCAAAGCTTCCCATGCATCTGGAGATCATAAGTCAATGTTTTTCATGGTACAGCTTTGAACAATGATGCCGAGTTCCTGTCTTTTCCAGATCTTCCTTTTGAGGTTAGTACCACAGGACAGTCTCACCCTGCTGCCCCACTGGGGCTCCAACACCAGGACCTGTCCAGCCCACTAAATCTGAAATACCCCTCTGCCTTATGGCAACAGCTGCATATTAACTTTCTTATGGGGAAAGTGACCCACATGGCCCAGAAAAACTCAGGGCAGCAACCAGAGAGCTGCTCCAAATCTCCACATAGCGCCTCAGCTCTGTGAAATTAATGTCAACAAGGAAGCTGGACACTTGGAAGCATCTGAATGAGAGGGTGAATGAGAGGTCCGCAAAGTCTTAGCCAGTTAGCAGCATGTCTTGGTGTCATGCAGATCAATCTGTGTGACAGTGTCTTTCTCTTTTTTTTGGAGTTGGAGTCTCACTCTGTCACCCAGACTGGAGTGCAGTAGCCGTTCCTGGCCACCGCAGCCCCAACCTGCTGGGCTCCGGCAATCCTTTCACCTCAACCTTCCAAGTAGCTGGAATTACAGGGGCGCGCTCCCACACCCGGCTAATATTTTGATTTATTGTAGAGATGAGATCTCTCCAAGTTGCCCAGGCATGTCTCGAACCCACGGGCTCAGGCAATCCATTCACCTCAGCCTCCCAAAGGTGCAGGATTACAGGCTGAGCCACCGAGCCCGGTGACAGTGTCTTTCTTACAGAGCACAAGTTTTAACATTGAAGGACCCAACCTGGCCTCAACCTGACTTCTGGGAGAAAGTGTGATTTAGGGACACCTAGGATGATCATACAGGGAACGTGTGGCCCTGACCAAAACTAGAATTTGGTCCAAGGCAGGGTGAGAATCCTTGGAATGGTGTGTGGGTATCTTGGGCTCACTCATGCCCAGCAGGGCCAAACCAGTGATGTCACCAGGCTTGTAGAGCAACCAGGACATCGATGAGGGTGAGCAGAAACCCACAGACCAACCATCAATCTTATCCACTCAAGGAGGCAGTGATGGCTGAACTTCTGTGCCCTGAATGTCCATTTCCTGACCTCCAATGAGGAAGAAGTCTGAGATCAAGTGCACAGTCCTGGGGCCATGATTTCAGGATTTGGTACATGCTCCAGATTATAGGAGTGATGAAAATTTGACCCAGGAAGAGAAATCTGTAGGTCTGCCATACTTGGTGGGTCCTTTCATCTTTAGAAATTGAAAATGTGGCCTCACTTTGTGCAAAGATGCTCTAAGGTGGGGCCCAGAGCTGCATACAGGAAAAGATTTCCTGGTTATGTAAGAATAGGACTTAGCTGCATCTCACAGTCAGTAGTCTGTCCTCTCTTTTTCATCTGGCTGCTGAGAGATTCTCTCTCTCTCTCTCTCTCTCTCTCTCTCTCTTTTTAGTTGGAGTCTCATTCTTTTGCCCAGGCTGGTTGACTGCCAAATCTTCCACTCAGCTTCCCAAGTATCTGTAACTACAGGCACACCCTACCACACCCAGATAATTTTGTTATTTTTTTTATTGTAGAGACAAAGTCTTGCCATGTTGCCTGGGCTGGTCTCAATCCCCCAGGTTCAGGCAGGATTCTCCAGTTTTTGTTGATTCTGCAGCTACTAAAAATCATCCAGTTCCTTTTTCTTATCTCATTTTGTTTTCAGGAGAACAACAAAAATAATAAAATTATTCTAGCAAATGAATTCTCAGCCGCCCATCCTGCAGCCTGCTCTGCAAAGTGCTGCCTCTGTACAATAGTGACTGTCCAGATCTCTCCAGTATGATAGAGATGAGTTTTTACATGATGAATATCCAGATCTATCCTACTGGATGGACAGGAGTTCTTAGATCTGGCTCAGTTATGGCATCATCCAGATTCCCACAATGTCCTTTGGGAGGTCTAGATAATACGTGGTTGGGAGCC